CCATGAGGTCACAAAGTGTTGGATACAACCGTGACTGAATTGAACTGATCTGGGGTACTCATCTTCCGTTGTCATATCTTTTTTTCTTTTCATACTGTTCTAGGGTTCCCAAGGCAAGCATACTGGAGTAGTTTGCCATTACCTTCTCCAGTGACCCACAGTTTGTCAGAACTTTCCACCATGACGCATCTGTCTTGGGTGGCCCTGCATGGTGTGGCTCATAGCTTCATTGAGTTACTGTGATCCATGTGATCATTTTTGTGAGCTTTCAGGAGTTGTGGTTTTCATTCTGGAAGCTGTGGGATTGCAGTTCTTGCTTCTTCTGTCTGCCCTCTGATGAATGAGGATAAGAGGCTTGTGCAAGCTTCCTGATGGGAGGGACTGGCTGTGCAGAAAACTGGGTCTTGCTCCACTGGCAGGACCATGCTCAGTAAATCTTTGATCCAATCAGCTGCTGATGGATGGGCTGTACTCCTTCCCTGTTAGTTGTTTGGCCTGAGATGACTCAGTCCTGGAGTCTAAAGGCTCAATGGTAGGGCTAATGGTGACCACCAAGAGAACTTATGCCAACAGTCACCTCTTAGGTATTTAACTATTCAGACTATAAGCATGCACGCTACAGATGACCATTTATGGAGGATCTAGTACTTTCAAAGTTTTGGGTCCCTGGCCAATAGTAAGATATCAATTTTATATCATGACCTGAAGATAACACACACAAAGCTAAAAGATAATGCCTAGCCTTGAAACTCTCGAGGCACTCTGATATTCCTTCTTTTGTTCTATTTCATCACACACACACACACACACACACACACACACACACACACACACAATGTGGGTCCCAACTCATCAATGGAGAGACATTGATTGGGTGTATCTTCCAGGGATGAATGTTCTTTGAAGGTGACGGACTAAGTAGAGACCATATCTTCATGTCTTCTAAATAGGTGTAGTCACATTAATGCAGAAAAAGTCAGTTAGAGATACTCTTTATAGAATCTGAAATTCCCACAATGAGTATCTGAGTGGACCTACATGTAGAGAAACCAGGTGTTGGGGAAAGGAAGCCAAGTGTATAAAACATGGTGCTTGCCTTCAAGGAGCTTATAGCTGAGTAACAAGATTATCCCACTCATTTATTCATTTAACAAATCAAGCACCTACAATGTGCTAGGTAGCACTATTCTGCATCAGTGAACAAGTTCCTGACCTCACCAAGCTTATCTTCTCATGAGAGTGACACATAATAAATGAATAAATAACTGAAGAAGTATAATATAGTGCTGACAGTGGTAACAGCTCTTAAGAAAAGGTGAGGGGACTTCCCTGGAGAGCCAGTGTGGTTAAGAATCTGCCAGCCAATGCAGGGGACATGGATTCAATCCTTAGTCTGGGAAGATTCCACATGCCTGCAGGGCAACTAAGCCTAGGAGCCACAACTACTGAAGGCCACGTGCCCTAGAGCCGGGGCTCCACGACAGGAGAAAACACCACAACAAGAAGTTTGTGGACTCCAGCTGGAGAGCGGCCCCAACTAGAGAAAGCCCGTGCGCAGCAACGAAGACCCAGCACAGCCAAAAGCAGAGAAATAAACAGAGAGAGAAAGAAAGAAAAAGTAAGGAAATGGAGAGTGACTGATAGGAAGGCCTGTTTCAGATAGGGTAGTCGGGGAAAACCTCTAAGGAGAAGGTATTTGACCACAGACATGAAATTTCAGCGCAAATCCTGTACATTCCAAAAGAAACACACTTCATTTAGAGGGACCAACGAGGAGGGGAGCAGTTTAGGAGGGACGCTCAAGAGGGAGCAGATATATGTACATTTATAGCTGATTCACACTGTTGTATTCCAGAAACTAAAACATTGTAAAGCAATTATCTTCCAATTAAAAGAAAAACATTCTATGACAAACCATAATGGAACAGAATACTAAAGAAGGAAGTATATAACTGAAGCACTTTGCTGGATAACAAGAATTAACAACATTGTAAACCAACTATCCTTCAATAAAAATAAGTGAGAAAAAAAGAGAGGGGTCAACCAGAACCTTCAGAAAGGCTCTGAAGCAGACATGGAATGTTCCAGAAGTAGGAAGACCAAGGTAGCTAGAGATCATGAGACTGTGAAAGACAGATGGGGTCAGAAGACATAGGGTCCTGAAGGCCATGTTAATTTTCAATTACATCTAAATGTGATGGGAGGCCATTGCAGGTTTTGAGGCAGAAGAGTAACACGAAGCCGTTTACATTTTAAACACTCACACTTGCTGCTGTGTAGAAAGCTAACTGAAGAAGGCAAGGGGAAAGCCATGTGACTGGTCAGGAGGCTATCATGGCAGTGAAACAAGAGATGACCGCAGCTTGGATGAGACTGACATTCACGGAGCGCGAGGAGTGACTGGATCAGCGGTACCTCATTTGAAAGCTGCTGCCTCTCCATCTGCATAATACGGCGTAGAACGTGAGGTGCCAAGATAGAGTACACTGTGTTGTGGGAACTCAGACGAAAATTACATCTGGCTGTGGGATGAGCTGGCACTTGAGCTGTGTCTTCAAGGATGAGTGGGTAGAAATGGCGAGGGAGGAGAGGACATTCCAAAGAAAGGGAAAAGCAGATGAGTAAAGGCACAAAAGAGAGAAAGCAGAAGGCATGCTTGGGGCCCAGCAGCAGTTCTGTGGATTACGTGAGTGTGACAGTTGCTCAGTCGTGTCTGACTCTTGGTGAGCCCATGGATTGTGGCCCACCAGGCTCCTCCGTCCATGGAATTCCCCACGCAAGAATACTGGAGCAGGTTGCCATTTCCTTCTCCATGCTGTGGATTATAACACGCTCCAAAGAGGGGGCTAGGATGTTAAGATTGAACAGGAATGTTTGGGATAAATCACAGAGCCTGCAGGGCCATGAGAGTTTGGGCAATGGAGAATCACAGCATGTTCCTAGGGAGGGTTTTATGGGATCAGAGCTGAGCTTTAGAGCCTATCGGGTAATTAGAGGCTGCAGGGGAACCTGGAAGTTTCTGCTTTGGGCCTCTGTACCTTCATTCATTGAGGCCATCTTCAACTTTCTTTAATCCTAAATCTTTTGTTCCAGCCAGACCAGCCTTCCACTTGACCAGTGGGCTGCCTACAACCATGTCCTCCTCCTTGCCTTTATTTAGGTAGTTCTCAGCACCAAGGACACCTTGCCCAGCTCCTATCCATTTATTCAAAACCTCCCCCATTCTTTTCTGGTTCCTTGGCCTCCATTGTTCCCTCCCTTCTGTCAAAGCACTTGTCTACAGCACTCATGTTGGTTCTTAACTTCATATACACGCATTCCTTAAGTATGTACTTCAAGAAGGACTTTCCCTATGAGATGTAAACTCCTTTCGGTCAAGGACATTAGCTGGCATTCCCTTTGTTTCTTCCACACTGCCTGGTGGTCAATTATATTGACCACCCTCATACCTAATACAGTGAGTGCTGAGAGCCAATGGGCCTTCTCAAGAGCCATGAGTAGAAAGGCAATAGTCCAGATACACTGACACCTAAACACATAGCCCAAGGAGACTGCTCTTCTTGTCTCCAAATGTCTTCCATTCCCCGGCCATTCAGAAACGAAACCACTACGAACTGGACACATCTAGCTTTCGCCTTCTATAAAAGAACCATCCTGGGGAATTACCCTTGCTCTAGACAATATTATCCACATTCAAGAAAACACACCAAACCACGGTTTTCCACGGGGAAACGGAAGTGGATCCGGGTCAGATGCCCACTCCACTCCGGCGCTTGCTGGCTTCCTGCAACTTGCTCCCAAGCTCTGGACCACATCATCCATCGCTTTCCCCTGAGACTGTGTACTTACTTGAGCGGCTTCCACTCGGAGCCACTCTCCCACCCCATTTCATCAGCCCTTGGAACCAGCAAGCAGCAAGACACAAGTTTCAAGACGGCAACAAGGCTGTGTGGACTCTCTCAACACCTGACACCCGGCAGGAACATGGGTCACTTAAGGACACAAGGCAAAGGCACAGATGATGGGTCTCCTCCGTTGCTGTGGACACTCGACTCGGTGCGTAGCCTGTCCTTGGCTTCCACGGCTCCCTGGCTCTTTCTAGACGCTTCCCCTGCCACTTCTGGGAGGGGCATGGGGCCCCGGGGAGTCAGCAAGGTCACCAACGTGGGAAGGAAGAAGATACCAGACTCTTGTCCTGTGCACTGAGCTCGATGCTCGGCACTGTATCCAGCATGCCAGGGCACACCTGACCCAACCGAGCCGAGAGTCTGGTGGTCGAGACCAACCCAGGCGGTGATGCCTCCGAGTCGGCGCAGTGATGGAGGTCTAACAGGGCAGTGCGCGCCCGCTCATTTCAAAACCTCGTCTCCCTGCCCTTCCCAAGGCAAAATTAGGTTTAAATCGGGAACCATCTCTTCACTAAGAGCCCCCCCACCGCCCCTACTCTGCCTTTTTTTTTTTNACTCCCTAAAATGTTTTCACACATAGTAGAATTTTTGACCCTGAGCAGCAAAAGTGAAAGTAGATAGAATAAGAATTTTTGAGGGTTTTGAGGCAAGAATAGCTAAGTGGCTTGCCAAACGTCACACGCAGCAGTGGGACAGTCAGTATGGCGTGCGCGCAGTATGGCGCAGTATGGCGCGCAGGCCACCTGACCTGTGCTCCAGGGGATTCCCGACCACACTGGCTGTCTGCACATGGCAGGAGGTCACCTATTCTCCAGCCTCTCCCCCACTGTACTTAGTCTCACCTGCAGAGCAGAGGGGAGGCAAGGGCCAATAGATTCACACTGAGCAGGTTTCTTCTGGCTGAAGTCTCACCAGAGTGTGTTTGTTCCCTTTCAGCCTGGAGGAAGGCCCAGCTGTACGCAGGTAAGTGGATCTGAGTTCCTGTGGGCGCCCCCCCCCCCCCCCAATCCCGGCCCCCATCTCTAGAGTCTGTATGGGTGTGGGCAGCGGACGGGAGCAGGGTGACACGCAGATTGTACACAGGGCCCCTTCGATGTACACCCCGCTTGGAACAGGGCAGTGGAAAAACAAACAGCTTCGCAGGAGGAGATGGAGTCTAAACACCAGCTCATTTCACCCGCCCCTTGTTGATCACCCAAGCACGTGTCCGCCTCCGGGGTAAATATTGTGGTTTGCTTCCATTCAGCCCCCAAGAAGACGTGTTCGCTGCCCCTGGTAACTGGGCAGCAAGGCCTGGCCCAGGTCTGTCTCCTCTGGGTTAACTGTGCGTCTGACGCAGGAGTTGAGATAAGATGGTGTGTGTTGGACACATAGGTAGGGTGAGAAATAAATATGAAAAGCAAGAGATTCTCAGAAATGAGACCCTGTGCTCTCTCAGTTGGGAATGCCCTGCCTGCACTGGAACATGTGGGCTCATTCAGAGGGCGGGACTGTGTGGGAGGTGTTTTTGCCCCTCCCCTAGCCAGAGGTAGATTCTGTATGCTGTCTTAAAAGATATTCGTGGGGCCCTCTCTTCCAGGTTGCAGTTGCGTGGGGCTGAAGTTTCACCAGGAGAGAGGCCGCAGGGCTGGGGTTGAGGTTCCAGGTTTCAGCCATAGCTGCTGAAAACTTGACCTGGATAGGTTCTTGAAAACTGCCTTGCCGACAAGCTCTATCAGCCCCACAAGAGAGGTCTGAGTGGAAGGCTCAGCGTCCACTGGGCCCTCGTCTGCTCCAGCCAACTGGGGTTGTTGAATCTGGTTGCCTTGGACATCAGAAACTTGAGAACACCTTTCAGAAAGCCCCCTGTCCTCCAGGTCATGCTTCTCTGAATTCCTGTTATTCAGGATGGTAGTTTCATACAGTTCAGCTGCAGCTTGTTCTTTGATTTAATTTTGTCACCTGGTATCACCTTGAAAATGGGGATTTATGTGCAAACATGCAAAAGGCCTCAGGAGAGGGCTTCATTCCTGGAGGAGGAAAGGGCAGTACAGAGCTTTAGGATCCTTTGACCATTTATTTATTCATGTTTCTTGGTGACTTACTGTGTTCCATGCCTTGTGCAAGGCACTGGGGAAACCTAGTGAGAATGACATGGCCTCTGTCCATGTGTCCTTTGAGAAGACAGTAAATGATTTTATTACAGTGAAATAATTGATATAACTGGATTGCTTATGAGATGCAATGATAACATAGGGGCTGCTGAAATCTTCCCTGGGAAATGTATCTGTCAGCTTGGGCTACATTGAGCTGCAGTAACGAATGATTCCAGTGACTCAAGTAGCTAAAAACAAACGAGGTATTATTTACTTGCATGCCTGTCCATCAGAGGTCGCCTATGGTTCTGCTTCATGTTCCCTTCATTCTGGAACCAGAGGTCAAAGTGCTGTCCCTTCGTGGGTCTGGCTGGTCTTAATGGCAGAGAGAAGAGAGAGATGGCAGAGCCATGCAATGGCTTCTGCTCTCAGTTCAGTTCAGTCACTCAGTCGTGTCCATCTCTTTGCGACCCCATGGGCTGTAGAGTGCCAGGCTTTCCTGTCCATCGCCAGCTCCCAGAGCTTGCCCAAACTCATTCCATCGAGTCCGTGATGCCATCCAACCATCTCCTCTGTCATCCTCTTCTCCTGCCGTCTTTCCCAGCATCAGGGTCTTTTCACATGAGTCAGTTCTTCCCATCAGGTGGCAAAATTATTGGAGTTTCTGCTTCATCATCCGTCCTTCCAATGAATATTCAGGACTGATCTCCTTTAGGATGGACTGGTTGGATCTCCTTGCAGTCCAAGGGACTCTCAAGAGTCTTCTCCAATACCTTAGTTCAAAAGCATCAATTCTTCAGTGCTCAGCTTTCTTTATAGTTCAACTCTTACATCCATACCTGACTACTGGAAAAACCATAGCTTTATTTTATTTTATTTTATTTTATTTGTGGTTAACACTTGAAATACATTTACTAATTAAGACAACCAACACTTTTACTTTTATTTGCATTTATTTTCTGCGGCATTTATTCCTGGGCCATAAGTTTTTGTTTCTTCAGTTTCTTCTGGGATATCTTTTTCTTCCGTGCAATTTCCTCTTCTGGTTTAGGAACAATCTGTTCTTTTTCAGTAAGGATCATCTCAATGTGGCAGGGAGAGCTCATGTAGGGGTTGATCCGACCGTGAGTTCTGTAAGTCCTGCGCCGCGTCTTGGGGGCTTTGTTCACTTGGATGTGCTCAGTGACCAGAGAATCTACATCTAAGCCCTTAAGCTCAGCATTACTCTCTGCACTTTTGAGCATGTGTAGTAAAAATTCAGCACTCTTTTTGGGCCACTGACCCTGCGTCCAGCCCCACTGTTTGGCCTGTGTACGCCTACCAACTCCACCATTGTAACGACAGAATGGCTCACACTGCCTCTTTAAAGTGACATCTTTCAGATACTTGGTGGCTTTTTAAATATGCATACCCTTTATGGCCTGGGCAGTTTCACGAGTATTCTTAAAGTGAACGCGAAGATTTTAACCTCTTGATTTGCATGATTTTGTGGGGTTTTCTGGGTCGAGTGAATAGCGCACCATTTTTAGGGGTCAGCTCAGGCCGCTTACCGGAAAAGCGGAAAAACCATAGCTTTACTTAGATGGACCTTTGATAGCAAAGTAATGTCTCTGCTTTTTAATATGCTGTCTAGGTTTGTCATAGCTTTTCTTCCAAGGGTTGCCATTGCCTTCTCCATTAATCCTCTTTTAGTGAATTCCAAATGTTTTAGGAGCTATGTGTCAGAAGACCAACTATTTATTTCTTACTATAAATCACAATGTCACATGTACATATTTGAAATTTTATAGTAAAAGATACATACATTTATTATTTTAACTATGTTTAATATTTTAACAATTTATCAGCATTAAGAACATTCATGCTGCTGCTGCTACTGCTAAGTCGCTTCGGTCGTGTCCAACTCTGTGCGACCCCATAAATGGCAACCCACCAGGCTTCCCCGTCCCTGGGATCCTCCAGGCAAGAACACTGGAGTGGGTTGCCATTTCCTTCTCCAAGGCGTGAAAGTGAAAAGTGAAAGTGAAGTCACTCAGTCGTGTCCGACACTTAGCGACCCCATGGACTGCAGCCCACCAGGCTCCTCCATCCATGGGATTTTCCAGGCAGGAGTAGTGGAGTGGGGTGCCACTGCCTTCTCCGATTCCAAGGAGCAAGCATCTTTTAATTTCACAGCTAGAGTTCCCATCTGCAGTGATTTGGGCAGAGAGAAAAGAGAGATGGCAGAGCCATGCAATGGCTTCTCCTCTAGAGTAGTGTATAACACTCTCACTCACGCGGCATTGACCAAAGCAAGACATGTGAGTGAGTTGGCCATAAATAGAGCAGAAAGTATAATCTTTCTACTGGGTCAGGCCAGTTGGGAGGGGTGGGGAATATATGGACCAATAATACAATCTACCATGGTTTCTGGAGGTGGTGATGCTTGGGCTGATTGCAAAAGTAGATTAAAACTTGAGCAGGTAAGCAGACACAGCAGGGGAGGGTATTCCTGTAGAGAGAACCCCACTGGCCACAGTCATGAAGACATGAAACTGCTTGGTCCGACAACTTTGCCTTCTAAGTCTGCGTAGTGTGGTGCGGTATCCTTCTTCCACTGACCCTTCAGATGTATGGATCTCTTTTTAGAGGCTCGCCTCCAGCCCTGTTTCAAAGGGCTGTCACTAGGGGAAGGGTGCTGATTAGTTGTTACATGTCTTCCTGGAGGAAATGGACCCAGGTTACTCCCCAAAGACTCTTTTTTAAGTACTGGGAAAGTACTTTGAAAAGTCTTTTATAAATACTGTAAAAGAAAACAACAGCATCAACAAATCAGCAAATTGCCATGAGATTCTTGATGCCTTGAAGGCGGAATAGTGATGGATCTGGGCAGCGGTGCCTAGAGGCGGAGGCTACCAGAGTGACCCCTGCACATGTCAAATCTTGTAAAAGTTCAGTCTTTGTTCATGGAGGAGTTTCAGGGGATGTCTCTAGATGGTTCTGATAGTCATCCGAGTCTCTGCCACCCTTGCTGTGTTTCTTGATAAGCCTGATCAATAAAAAGCCTCATTCCCACCCACTTCTTTCATTTTCTATTCTGATTTAGGTGTTAAAAGAAGGAAACTGTAAACCAAGATGTCTAGGTGGCAAATGCATGTTGTGGATGTGTAGAACAATTAGTTAAACCTTTTGTAGTGTTTGGCTTTTCCTTCCCGGTGCTGTAAATGCCTGAAGGGCAGTGTTCGTGGCCTGTATTCCCACCCCCCTGTATCCCCTAGAGCAGTACTTTCCTGAGGACCAGAGTCACCCAAGGGAGATTTGTATTTGGGTTGGTTAGTTGGAAGGCCACTCTTCTGAACAGAATCAGGAATATTTCAGTTGCAAGTAACTGAAAATTCAGCCTAACTGGCTTAATCTAAGTAGGATTTTTTTTTTTTAGTTCATTTAGCAGGAAAGTCTGTGACCCACTAGTCTCCTCTGTCCATGGGATTCTCCAAGCAAGGATACTAGAGTGGGTTGCCATGCCCTCCTCCAGGGGATCTTCCCCACCCAGGAAAAGAACCTGTGTCTCTTACATCTCCTGCCTTGGCAGGCGGGTTCTTTACTGCTAGTGCCACGTGGGAAGCCCCTCCCCATGTCTAGGTTCTGCTTTCTTCATGGCTGGCTCCTCTCTCATCTAGGCTCCTTCAGTCTAGTTGTGAGATAGCTCCAGACTTTCCAATCTTGCACCTGCCTGGATCCAAGCCCACTGGGAAAGCACATCTGTACCTTTCCCAGCAATCCTGGCACAGGTATTTCCTAAACAACTTGTGGTTTGGGGATTGTGATGCTCCATTGATCAAAGGCCAAAGGCATGTATATTGTGGGTGAGTTTCCCCACTCAAAGCACAGGACTGAGGGATGGAGAGGAGATGGCTTACAGGAGGCAAGAAAAGGTGGTGATGGGAGGAAACATGAATAGCGGCTGGGTGACAGAAACAGCAGCTATTCAGTTCACCAACAGTAGTCTGTATCTGTCAGTATTGTTACAATAAGGCTGTATAACAAACCATCCCTAAACTCAATGGCTTACGCTATTTAGCATTAAGTTTTTTCTCACTCATGGGTTTGTGTGGTGTTTGGAACGCAGGAGACCTGGATTCAATCCCTGGATCGGGAAGATGCCCTGGAGAAGGAAATGGCAACCCAGTCCGCTAATCTTGCTTGGGAAATCCCATGGACAGAGGAGCCTGGCGGGCTACAGCCCATGGGGTCGCGAAGAGTCAGACACAACTGAGTGTGTGTGTGCGTGCACGCACGCGCGCGCGCGCACACACACACACACACACACACACACACGTCAGGTTGACGAAGTTTGGCCCCAGGATGTGGACTGGGTTCAGGTCTGGTCTATTTTGTCTCATCTTCCTGGGAACAAGGGCTTCCCTTGTGGCTCAGGTGGTAAAGTATCCGCCTGCAATGCAGGAGACCTGGGTTTGATCCCTGGGTCGGGAAGATCCCCTGGAGAAGGGAATGGCAACCCACTCCAGTGTTCTTTCCTGGAGAAGCCCATGGACAGAGGAGTCTGATGGGCTATAGTCATGGGGTTGCAAGATCTGGACATGACTTAATGACTAAACCACCACCACCGCCTGGAAACAGGAGTCGCTCAGGGTGTATTCTCATGGTGAGTGCCAGGAGCTCATGGGATGGGCAGAAGCAACCCCCGCCCCATGCCTTTTAAGAACCTTGACTCAGAACTGGTGTGCTATTGACTCTACCCGTGTTCGTTTCGCCAAAACAAGTGGGGAGGCCGAGTCCAACATCAGTGGAGCAGAGAAATATAATCCAGTTCATCACAGTGTTGGAAAAAATGCACTCAGCAATAGGATTAGAATGGACTGCTCCAAATTTCCCAAACTGCATCCATCTAGCTTTATTCATAATTGCCCCATGTTCACATGGACATGCATGAAAAGTCCCTGCTGAGATATTCCCATATCAGATTCCTTGTCTCCCTAACTTTCCTTTCCCAATGTCTTCACCTTCAGTCTGACTCTAGATTTTCCTGCACCAACTACCTGTGATCCACTTCACCTGTTTTTGAGGGTGTGAGGACTGTTCCAGGAGCTATGATGGGTGAGTGTCAGCGACAGGTGAGTGCCCATCTGTCTGGAACACTGTGGAAAGAATTCTTGCTGTGAGTGGGAGATTGGATGAGAAGAGGTTGCTTCTTCAGCCATTTCCCACACTAAGATACACTGATTCTGGGTATTCTTTGTGTGGGCTGCACCCCACAGGCCTGCAAGCCTTGTGGTTGCTGAACCTCAAGATGGAAGGAAGAGCCCAGAGACAGTGACCGAGACCTCAGTGGTTTATTAGACAGGGGGATCGTTCACAAAAGCTCCTAGAGTGACATTGCAGCGTGTGTGGAGGACAGTGGGCAGGACCCAGCAGCAGTCTTCCCTACTGGGGGGAGAAGGAGGCTACCATTTATAGGGGGAATTGACATCAGGTGGGCTTGTGAATTACTGTGGACTAATTAAGTCCTATAATTAAAGAGGATTGCATCGTCATGTGAGAGCAGCGGGGCTGGATGATCAGGGGATGTGCAGAGAGCAAGAAAACAGCTGTCTTGATTGGCATAACCATACACTGTGTCAATTTTTGACCCATGTAGTTATATTTTAGGATATGGGGTTTGATCTGTGAATCTTTGATCTCTTTGCTTCCAGTGTCCTCAGTCTGGAATCCATCAGGGCCTGAGACCACAGTAAGCTCAAATACCCAGACAATAATCATTCTGCCTCCCACAGGGGAACCCATGAGGAAGAGAACCTGGAAGAAGGCAAGTTTCTCAGCAGCCATATTTCTTGATAAAACTTGTCTTTGTTTCTGGATAGCTTCAGACAGAAGAGCCATCCAGAAACATTAGTCCCCTCCTTCCTTCCTTCCTTTCCTTTTTAAATGTATCCCCAAGAAAGCAAGCAAGCAAGCACAACTTTTCATTCTGTATTCCAGTGGTGCAAAGCCCTCACATCAGGAAGTTCTGCATAGTGTCTAACTTGATTCTCCATGGTTGAAGCCCATTATTTCTCCCTTCTCATCTTTCACATCTTTGCATATGGTGGAGCCCATCTCTAATGTTGGTGTTATAGAGACCTGTTCATGATGTTCATGTTCCAGAAGAAAGAGTTGGTATTGTTTTATTTCGCATCAACAGACAATTATTGAATGAGTGTGATTGTCCCTGTACAAGTGCCGCAATGTTAAGAGCATCCCCTTTGGAGTCAGGCTGTCTGTGTTCCAGTCCTGGCTCTGCCACTTACTAGCTGTGTGACTTGGACACGTTATTTAGCATGATTTGTCCACAGTTTCCCTGTCTGTAAGATGTGTTTGTAATAGTATCTCTCACAGGGTTCTCATGAGGGATAAGATAACTAATAGATGTAGAGTGCTTAGAATAGTGTCTGGCATATATGTGCTCAATAAATGTTGACTATCATTATCCTCATCTTGAGATGTAAGATTTAGTTTCTGGAGGGAACTGGCACTGATGACCCTGGTAGGTAGCTGTTCTCCTAGTTAAGGTGGGGAGGGAACATGGGTGGTTGTCGGAACACAGCGAGAGAAAGTTGCAAGGAGGTAAATTTCTATTTAAGACAAGATCTTCCTGGGACTTGCCTGGCAGTCTGGTGGTTAAGACTCCACCTTCCAATGCAGGGGGCTGCAGGTTTGATCCCTGGTTGGGGAGATAAGATCCCACATGCTTCAGGGCCAAAACAAAAGAAGATAAGATTTTCCTAACAATTAGAATTGGCCAATTAAGTAGTGAGCTCCCCTGTCATCAGAGGCATTCAGGAAAATCCTGAATAGCCATCCAGTTAGATGGTATGTGAAATTCTCCTAGAATTGAAAGAACAGACTTTTCAAATGGGTAGTACATTGGGCTGGACGGATCTTAACTCCCAAGGTGTGTTGTTTGGGCTGATGTTGTTTTTTGTTTTTTTTTTTTTTTAATTTCACAGAGTCCACAGTGGATTGGGAGATTTTCCTGTTTAAAAATCTAGATTTTCAGCTTGTTTGCTTGCTTGATTTTTGCAGAGTTGGAAGATCCGGCAACATTTAGCCGACAGTCTTGGATATCAGTAACGGAGCTTAGCTGTGGCCGCTCCCTTAAGAGATGTCAGTCTGTCTTACGCCCTCTTCTCGGGCCTCCTCTCTCGTTTATGGGAAGCACCTGACTCCTGTGTGGTTTTGAATTTACAACACGTGTTGGAGGAGGTCTGCCTAGTGCGTGGGTGGGCTAGGTCGGAGATCACCTTTAGGCTGACCTGATCCCAGGTGAACTCCCTCCGAATTCTGAGAGCCTTTGTTCTGGATGCACATCTGACCCCCTGGCACAGCACCATCCATTAAGCGTGCCCTGCACACCTACTGCTTGCTCAGCCCTATGATTCATACTAGCATGCTAAACTGGCCTTCAATGGGCCCTATTTTAAATATGGAAAGGAGAACACTTGTTTTCTTTATTCACTGTTCACTGAATACCTCTTACACCAGAAGTGTGTGGGCTTTTCCCCACCAAGCAGTTCTTCAACTCTTCAGACATCAGCTGGGTGCCCGAGAATTCGAACACAATTCTGACAGTAAGCGCCTGTGGTTAACATAGGCCCACAGGCCCCTCAGTCCTGCAGGACCGCTCCCCGCTTCGGTGCCAGGCACCAGTCCAGGCTGTCACCTGTGCTTCTCAGCTTCTGGCTCTAGATCAGAGGCTCCCGTGACCCTTCCGTGTGTTTGATCGTTTGTGAGAACGTCTCACAGAGTTCAGGAAAACAGCTTACTTACTAGTGTGTGTGTGTTAGTCTCTCAGTGGTGTCCGACTCTTTGCGACCCCATGGACTGTAGCCTGCCGGGCTCCTCTGTCCATGGCATTCTCCAGGCAAGAGTAGTGGAGTGGGTTGCCGTTTCCTTCTCCAGGGGATCTTCCTGACCCAGGAACGGAACCCAGGTCTCCTGCATTGCAGGCAAATTCTCTACTGTGTGAGCTACCAGGGAAGCCTTTACTTACTAGAGAATTGGTTTATTATAAAAGGATATAACTCGGAACAGCCAGATCAAAGAGATGCAAAGGGCAAAGTATGTGTGTGGGGGGTGGTGGGGAGGGGGATATGGAGCTTCCAAGCCTTTCTGTATGATCAGGCCATCCAAGATGGCTGTTCTCTTGCCCTCTACATCCCCTGCCCGACCAGTGCCTGCTTCATATATACCCTATTTACATGACTGACCTTCCTGTGTATTTGCCCCACCCCCACTCCAGCTAGTGATTGTTCAAACCTGACATCGTAGATTGAGCCCACCTGACATCACTCCCCCCCATAACTGGTTACCTCCCCCTACCCGGGGAGTGAAGACTGCTGACCTGGCCTGCCTATCGATGTTTTCCACGCATGGTGGGGTGTTGTTCCAGGACATCGCTTCAGACAGGTAGGCTCCCCCATTCCTTAAGCTGTTGACATCTCTGTTGCTGACTCTGGGCTCTTTGGTCTTGAAGCTGGGCAAGTCCAGGCCTTGTAGACCTGTGGGGTGCAGCCCAACAACTGGCGGAGCAGCTAGGAGACTGAGGAAACCCCTGAGAGCGCCAAGATGCTGGGAAACAAGGACGGGGACAGGGAAGTTGGCGGGGCCGAACGGTCCCGGGGTGGCCATCCCCTAGGAAGTGGGGTCCTTGGTGGCTGTCCTTTTGGGGGAATGGGGCGCCAAGAGAGTAAAGTCTCCAGCATGGTATCAAAGTGAGTCTTTTGTCTTTGGGTTGGCTTTTATCTTGCGTGTGTGCAAGTACCTTGTCCATGAATGCAGGTCCTATTCTCTCTTTCTGGTTTTGACCTTTATCAAAGGGTCCTAGTTTTTCTGATTGAGCCCACCTCCGTGTTTTTCTGAAGGTGAGGCAGGTGAATGTGCCAGCCTGATGTCATTCGCCCTGTAACTGGTAACCTACATACGCCCCCTTTCCGGGCAGGAGTGAAAACTGCCTCTCTGCACAGTGGGGCATTGCTCTCGGACCTTGCTTCAGACGTGTGAGATCCCTCATCCATTAAATCATTGATGTCTCTGTCACTGACTCCAGGCTTTTTGTTTGGACTTGAGGTTGGGCAAGTGCAGGCCCTGAAGGCCTATGGGGTGCAGCCCAACGGTTCCCCTGGGCCACCACCCTCCCAGCACTTCTACATATTCTGCCACCTGGAGGCACCCAGGACCCCAAACTATCACTTATGCATGGAGCCTTCATTACTTAGGCATGGTTGATCAAATCATTGGCCATTCATGATTAACTCAGCCTCCAGTTCTTCTCCCCTTCCCTGGAGGTCAGGTCAGGGGCTGAAAGTTCCAGCCCTCTAAAACGTTGGTTCCCCTGGCAACCAGCTGCCATCCTAAGGGGTTTTTCAACAGTCACCTCATTAACAAACTCAGGTGTGGTTTATAGGGGCTAGTGAATAAAAAGATGGTCCTTTCCCCTTTAATCCTCTTTTGCTGCTGCTGCTAAGTCGCTTCAGTTGTGTCTGACTCTGTGTGACCCCATGGACTGCAGCCCACCATGCTCCTCTGTCCATGGGATTCTCCAGGCAAGAGTACTGGAGTGGGTTGCCATTGCCTTCTCTGTTAATACTCTTTTAGGGAATCCCAAATGTTTTAGGAGCTATGTGTCAGAAGACCAACTATTTATTTCTTACTATAAATCACAATATCATATGTACATATTTGAAATTTTATAGTAAAAGATACATACATTTATTATTTTAACTATGTTTAATATTTTAACAATTTATCAGCATTAAGAACATTCATGCTGCTGCTGCTGCTGCTAAGTCGCTTCAGTCGTGTCCAACTCTGTGCGACCCCATAGATGGCAGCCCACCAGGCTCCCCCATCCCTGGGATTCTCCAGGCAAGAACACTGGAGCGGGTTGCCATTTCCTTCTCCAAGGCATGAAAGTGAAAAGTGAAGGTGAAGTCGCTCAGTCGTGTCCGACTCTTTGTGGCCCCATGGTCTGCAGCCTACCAGGCTCCTCCGTCCATGGGATTCTCCAGGCAAGAGCACTGGAGTGGGGTGCCATTGCCTTCTCCTAAGAACATTCATAAAGTTGTACAACCATCACCCCTATCCATTTCCAGAACTTCTTCACCACAAACTCTGTACCTATTAAAAAATAATTCCCCATTTCCTCCTCCTCCTTATCCCCTAGTAACTCCATTCTGCTTTCTGTTTTTAAGAATTTCCTATTCTAGAGATGTCTTATGAGAAATCATACAAAATTTGTTTCTTGTGTGTCTGATTTATTAATTTAGCATGATGTTTTCAAGGTTCATCCATGTTAAAACGTGCATCAGAATTTCCTTCCTTTCTATGGCCAAGAGAATATTCCATTGTACATATATACATTTTGTTGATCCACTCACCTGTTCATGGACACTTAGGTTACTTCCACCTCTTGGTTATTGTAAATAATGCTGCTATGAGCATTGAGATACAATATGTTGGAGTTTCTGCTTTCAGTTCTTTTGGGTATTTCTGGTCCCGTTATATTTTAATTCAAACTGAACAATAAACTTTCAGCTCTTCCTCTCACTGCTCCATAATGTAATAAAAAACCTGGTACATCCATTTTACAGATGTAGAAACTGAGCAGGAAATTAAGGTTGGAAACTGGAAACTAGATCCTTGGTGTGGAGTCATCGACACTAGACAACATCTTGTCCTGAGGACAAGGGTTGTGTCTGAGTCATCACAGATCTGCATCCTCAGGACAAGTGGCCAGGATGCAGTCCACATGGTGTGAAAAGAATGAATGAACATTTTTTGTGCTGACACTTTTCCCCCCCATAATTTATTTTTGGCTGTGCTGGGTCTTCGTTCCTCATGGGCTCTTCTCGAGTTGTCGCGAGTGGGGGCTACTCTCCAGCTGCGGTGTGCAGGCTTCTCATTGTTGTGGCTTCTCTTGTTGCAGAGCACGGACTCTAGGGTGCAGGGGTTTCAGTAGTTGTGACACGTGGGCTCAGTAATTGCCACTCTCGGGTTCTTGAGCACAGACTTAACAGTTGCGATGCACAGGTTTAGATGCTCTGAGGCATGTGGGATCTTCCCGGTCCAGGGATGAAACCCGCGTCTCCTGCATTGGCAGGTGGATTCTCTACCACTGAGCCACCAGGGAAACCTCTGTGCTGGCACTTTGACAGAAGCTCTCAAAAAAGCTCTCAATGTCTGTAATACTTCTTCCTCTCTTTAAGTTTCCCTCTCCACCTGGTAGACACCCCCACCCCAGCCCTAACAAGGGACTTGAACAAATCAGCTGGTGCTGATCCATGCCCTAAGTCACAATAACTGCAGCCTCGGGCCTGAGAGGTTGCTTTCCCAAGTGTTCTGTCCAGTCTGGGTGTCAGCTTCATGGGAGCTTCACCCCAGTTCACTGTAATTCCTGAGCAGCTGGTTCTGGCTGGCATGTGGACCCCACTGGGGGCTCCTCTGGCATGGGGGAGGGGGAGGGCGGATCCGAATGCCTTCTAGTCATACTTTGTCAGAGAATCTCTCTAACCTGCTGCAGGTCCTCTTAGCCCACCAAGCTGTCCAGGGGTTTGGGGAACCTCAACCCCAATTCCCTTTTGTTTAAAAATTGAGACAAGTGTAATTTTAATGGGGTGGTGAAAACGCTTCTCTCGGTAAGCTGTACTGTCAACTTGGCCTTTGCTTAAGAAAAGAGTGGCTCTAAAAGGATTCCCTGCTCTGTTCTCCTTGGAGGAGCCTGGCTTGGGGAGGGGTGGGGGTGGGGGACTCTCAGAGGCGGTCAAGGGGTGTGGCTTACATCCTCTGGGGTCCTTTGTCCACTTGCTTTCTGCCCACAGGACAACAGAAGCTGTCACTAATGGCCCAGAGGTGGGCTGCAGAAGGCGCGTGCCTGTCTGGCGCTCCTGGGGAGAGGGTGTGTGAGGAAGAAGGCAAGTGATGGTGAGAAGCACTCACAGGCAGCGAGTGTCCTCAAAGCAGTCGGGCGGATGGTGCCGGTTCACCGGGGAAATTTCTTTGACTGTCTGGCGTGGGAAGGAGGCGCTGAGACAAAAGCTTTGGTGGTGGGGGTGGGAGTAGCAGGGGAGGGTGGAGATGAGCTCCTGTAGGATTTGGCAAAAGACGGGGAACTAACTCCGTCTATCTATAGCCGGACGGAAGGCAAACACCCCCGGGCCTCCGCTGAAAGTGGGCGGGGCCGAGGGGAGGCGGGGAGCCGGTGGCTTCCCCGCGGGCAGCAGAGGGTTAACCCTCCGGGCGCCCAAGGACGTCAGAGTGGGTTCTTGTCTGCGGCTGGGACTGAGAGCTGTTATTCCCTGTTATTTTTCCTCCTGTCTTGGCTTTTTATTGTGTTAGGATTTCAGGATTTGGCTTTATATATAAATATGATGTTGAAAATATTTGGAAGGGGAGAAAAAAAAATTCATCCCAGTGAAAAGGATAGGAAGACAGCAGGCTGGAGGCTGGGGTCATTGGGAGTCCCTGGTTTTAGATCAAAAGCAGGGCAGCCACGCTTACGTGGCCCCCTCCCATCCCTACGTTCCCTCGAAGCCCCCCAAACCTCAGCCTGGACAAAGGGACGTCCTGCTTTGGAGCCCTATTCCTCCACAAGTCAGCTATGAGACCAGCTGTTACTAACGGGGACCACCGCCCCAGGCGAGGTCCTCCTGGACACGCGGTCCTCCCGCCCCCAGTCTGAGCCTGTGTTGGGCTGGGAGGTGAGGAGATGCCACAGACTCTGCAGTAGACTTTCCCTCTGCTGACCCTGTGGGGAAGGGCATGGAGAAGGACACAATCTCTCTGAAAGTGAGGGGAGAAGAGAGAGGTGATCAGGTTCTAGAAACAAGGAAAGAAGTGGCATGCATTACCTAAAACAACTAAGAGCTTCTTAGGTGTCTATTTAGTCACTCGGTTGTGTCAGAATCTTTGTGACCCCGTGGACTGGACAGCCTGCCAGTCTCCTCTGTCCGTGGGATTCTCCAGGCAAGAACACTGGAGTGGGTTGCCATTCCCTTCTCCAGGGGATCTTCCCGACCCAGGGATCAAACCTGGGTCTCCTGCACTGCAGGCAGATTCTTTACCATGTGAGCCCCCAGGGAAGCCCTTAGATGTCTGTAAGAGACTTCTAAAAGGAAATATTAAAACTCAGGGAGGTCATATTCAGCGGATACCCAGAGGAGTCAGCATTTTTCACAGCCTGCGGGCTTCATGACAGAGTTGTCGGTCTGAGGCACGAGGTACGGAGCCCAGAGCTTGGTGAGAGGGGGGTGAGGCGGCCTGGGTGCGGCACCGTGAAGCCGGGTGTTGGGACAGAGATGTGGAAACACAGCCATCAAGTCTCAGGATCCCAAGAAGGGAAAGGAGGCCTGAACATAGCCGGGGACCCTGCTCCCCAGAGCAAGAATGGTGTTGGCCCTCATCCCTGGGACGGAAGCATCTCGTGGACTTGCACACACTGGGCCCTGGGGAGATGACCGGGGAATGGGAGTAGCTGGTTCTCAATGGAACTTGGTCACTTGGAAGCCCTGTGAAGCTGCAGGAATTGCAGGGGGAGAAGTGGGACCTCCAAGGGCAAGGCCGAATAACATTTGTCTCTTACCCATTCTTATGCTCACTTGACAGAGAAAACAAGCTGTGGGAAATGGTCATCTAGTGTTAAAGATCAGAACGAGGTTTTCAGAACTAAGACTTAACATTATAAAAGTGGAATTTATACCAAGGACAAGAGTACCTCTACCCGGGGTCATGACAATGGTGGTTAGCAGGAAAATCTCCCACCCAACCCAAGTCACTTAAGCTGAATTTTTGCAAGAAAGAGAGAGGGGGAAAGTATCCATCTACAGTAAAAACTGGGAAATGTATTGTGGAAAATGAGCATGAAATCAGTGGAAAAATAGAAGCAAAAATGTCCTCTGTTAAGTAACAATGTTTCTGTGGTCTCCGA